TAGGGGCATGTGCCCCTAGTCGTGACCAACTAGGAAGAACAGACGAATTACTGCGGCTCGATATAATCATTATACCTTTGTTGCCTACATATTTCATATTTTTAGCAACAGACCTGATTTAATCTTTTGAAATTATTTACACTAAACGTCAGCTTTTATCACGACGAGGCAATTAGTGCTCGAAAGATTTAAAAGTACAATGCAACTTGTTATAGCTTGTAAGTTAAACCTTATAAACTGCGGTGTGTTTTTCGTGGTTTTTTAAAACTTTCGGCTGAACATGGTAGACGTGAGTGGAAGAAATGAGATACCACACGCTCATAGTTAAATTATTAGAGCCATATAAATTGACAAGCAAGCAATAGGATAGGGCTCGACCTCTGACACCACCAAAGTGACGAGGCACGCGCAACTTACACATGAAACCTAGCCGAAAGATACCTCATAAATGGCGATCCGTAAAGCATGCATCAACCTTTGTAAGTGGTAAAGGGCTACAAAGTTACGCGTCGTATGAGGTTGCAGCAGATATGACATACCCTACAGTTTTCCTTGAGTGTCTTTGCCTTGTAAACACGCTTTTGAAAATTTTCAGTAAATATTTTTGTCAAGTTACAATAGCTACATACGTAGGCGTTCCAGACGATTACCTTTTCTGTTCTTCAAGCTCATAAGTTTTCATAGGATCTATAGCATGTTTTTCTACTTTTACGTCATTCACACATACAAAATTGCAGACAATCGATTTTTTGTACGAGCGTCAGCTGGAAGATACTGTGTTGACATATTGCGCGGATAGAGATCGCTCCTTCAATTGGTATTTGTCATCAACTACAATGGGTCTGCGTTCGATCTGATAATTACAGAAGCATTCGCAGATGAATCTCTGTATGTCATTATAATGTATACATCGTTTAATAACCCCATTATCGTCATTCGGGTGGAGCGGTTTTTTAGAATTGAATGTTGAGCCCTCAATACACTCACTATGCCGGAATGCCGACTCATGAAGAAGATACCCAATGCCGCATATGGGCCTATGCTCACTTGTGTTCCCGTCGGCTTGTGGGTTGTATTACTCGGAAGATTCTGGGAGGATGTAGATGTCGGTCTTGACAGAGGAAGACCTGGGGGTCCGAGCGGGTATGCTTCACTTGGCAGGTAAGTAGGTGGCCACTCGATCGACTCGGTTGGGAGTGGATTTATATTAAAATCTATCGAAAGTTTGTCGCCCCTGTCTTTTCTTTGGTTGTCTCAGGGGTGTTAAGCACCTGTCCTTTTCTTTTCTCCTTAACCACTAGAATGGAGAAGCCTCTTCCGACAGTGGATCTTCTAGGGGTGCTACTCGAGACAAACTTACAGGCCAGAAGGGTTTCAATTTGCACTTGGTCTTGCGCCGCAACTGCATCCAACGGGGGAGTACAACGTATATCCCTTTTCCGAAACAGGCGTGCAGACTTTACAAATTCCCTATAAACACGACGAATTCGTGCCAAGAAGATTGAAAATTGTGAAGTGTATAATGTAGTCCTATATATAATTTAACTTATTTACTCTATTCTCGCCTTACGCTCTGACTCCATATTATGACTGGCCAGGAGTAGCTTAATGTTGAGAGGCTGATGTATACCAATAATAGGCCGAAATCTTCCGATTAGGGACCGATCCCATCAATGAGGTGCCTAGTTCTTATTTTAAAATAAGAAAACGGGTTCACCAATGAGGGGCCGAGGTCTAATTTTAGGGACCGTCCGATGAAGAAATGGGGTCGACTCCTTTCAGTACTATTTATCCGGTACCCTGGATAATGATCTAATCTTGATTGGTGTTGCAAGATCTTCTCATTCAAAGCTCGATCCACCTCCGTGGTCCCCTTTCCCTCTGGTTTATTCTCCTTGGTGTATGTGTTGAAATTAATGGAGTACATGATTAAGTCGAATGCGCTATTAGCTGGCTACGGTTTGTATCAAGTTGCGTTCAGTTACGGTTTAAGTGAGAAAACTTATCTGCACCAATGGTATAGTCATGGTCTTGGTAAACAAAGACCGGTTAGCGTGCGTGTGTACGATGCATTTTTATAGTGAGTGGACACGAAAAGCAAAGGATCGTCAACAGCTTGGGAGAGCATTAAGAAACCACTCCATACATTTTTCACTTTTGCATTGACCACTTATGCAACAGTGCATCACAAGCTTCAAGTCAATCTTCGAACAGTGTGGTCCCTTATATTATTGATTTGTTGGCCTACAGTTCCACATTTTTTAGGGCACTTCACCCCATTTACGTCAGCCAGTACTTATGATTGTCACGCATTGATCAATAGAAGGTCCTGTGTATAGGGATTCTGTCATTCGCCCAGTCTATTTCGTATAGTTATAATTTAATGGTCAATAAGTCCATGCGTGCGCGGCCACATGCGTACCAAGAGGATCTGCGCTGTTTCTTGCAGCCGCCGATGAGTATTCTTCGTAATGCAGAAATGCTGGTTTATCTGATGCGAGATCAACTCAGCGTGCAACGATTGATACTACGGATCACGTCGTACTCCGACTTGTAGAGACAAAAGTTCCGAAGTTTGGGGTAATCAACCTGAAAGAGACGGATGACAGATCCGCCTAACAACCGCCCGCAACATTCTCCGGTTGTGACGGCGGGGGTGCAATTGTGGTCCTTGCCCAGGAACTCCTGATGATGAGCATTGTATTCTCTCAGGAGGACAGGTGTGTGCTTATGCAAGCTCCTGTTAGTTCTGAGCTGTAAAACACTCAATCTTAGAAAATACAGCTAGCGAGTAACTTTCGGCGGCGAATGCGCTATCGAGAAAGAAGAAACGATGCTACTGACTCTCGTGTAAAGAGGAATCGCCGAATGCCTTACGATCGAGTCTTTCTAATCGCTTGCAGGAAGCTTGCTGTGGATCCATCGCTGCAACCTCACATAGCCTTTGCGGTACATCGTGCGATTAGGGCGTGCATGTTTCCTTAGTAGACTCTCTTGATATGGTCAAGCAAAAGCTGCATTACTGTGGCATGATGGTAATGTGGGGACGAAGAAACAAGAGGCCGCCGCGCTTTTTAGGCTGATGCAGAGTTTGCTGCGGTCTCTACCGGCGCGAAGGATACAATGGGGATCCATACGGTGTGCTTGGATTTTTGTTCAATATTTGCTTATACCAATGACCATGAACAATCATGTGACCATCAAGAAAATGGAGTGAGTGTGTTCGTGCACTAGCAAAGAACGTATATATCATATTGAAGTTATTGCGACCTTTAGGCCAAGCGTCTGCTGGTATCGGCGTATGTGTGTACTGAGAAGCGGGAGGATACCCTGGCAAAAGCGCTGGTTGTATCGCGACTGAAGAAGCTACGCGGAATGTTTTGAGTAGAATCAACAAAGAGTTACCGCGTTGCCCTGGCCGCGGGGAAGGAGTGTTAATAAGTGGGCTCATTGATGAACCCACTTCCAGGAGCCGACGCTTCGAGCTTACGATAGGATATGTCGCAAGGGTTTAGGCGTGAATTTGCAGTGGTGACACGACCCGAGAGAGTAGCCAGTGTCTCACTTCGTAATTCATTTGGTAAGATCTTTGCCTTCAAAGACCGTTATATAAATTTGATCAACAAAAAATATTCCCCCCATATATCTCTGGTAAGCCCTGTTTTAGTCCAGCATCTGCGATTATAATGCTCAGCAAGACCATAGTCTAGGTCTTTGAACAATGCCTGATACGTACAGCTCAATAGTACTACCCGGGAACCTCAGTACTGAGCATTCGGCCTCTCGGCGGAATACTTGTCGAAGCATAAACACATCCGACAATGCATGATCGTTTACTGTGGGGGCATGTTTGTAAAGGCGCAAAATTCGGGCATGTATGGCATACAGAAATCGAGTGACTAATACGTGTGCCGCGCGACACGATCAAAAACACGCATCGACAAGCACGCACCCAAATGTAGCCAGCCAAACAGCGAGGGCTGTGCAGGCCCAAGCTGAAGAGGGCGGTGGCTACTCGTTGCAACATAGGCGGACCTACAAAAAAGAGGGGTACACCCTGTCATACCCGGTACCAACTCTCTACACCAGTCATGATGAGTGATTACATCCCCTACGCTACCATTACAAGGCAATGTCCTTCTCTTGACGCAGCAGAGGCTACTGCCGTTGCGTGTGTGAGTTCGCACGATCATAGCGAGGATACACATCGAATCAGAAAGTCTCCAGCGCTCGTGATTTGCGTCCTGATCATGTTCGTCAGACCGAAAATAGCTGCGTACATGGAAGACGTAAGACAATACATTTTACTTGCATTCGTCTCCGTAGGATCGACAGCTTACACACAGCTGCAGCAGTGTTGCGCTGCATCATGTTTTTACGTGGTCAATGTCATACCCGTTTGATATAGAGACTCGCGTCGTGACAATAACCTCTCGAAGAAGTCTTTGCCACAAGAGCCTTGTCCGTACGCATTGTAAACTTCGAAGTAAAAAATATGACACTGGACGATGCAACTTTGGCTATGAGCTTGCGGGAGAAGAATTCGTCAAATCCAACGCTATTTCCACTTCTTTGCAGGTACGTTAGCGTAACAGGCGCATGTGGATTCGGTAGTGCAGTAGGATTGCGCTCGCGGCTACTCCATCAAGGTCCGATCACCTTATAATCATTCAAAACACGCGAGTTCTGTAAACAACCCTTGCTTAATTGCTCGTGCTTGCGATAGAAAAGGTTACTCTCGTGCTTGCGATAGAAAAGGTCATTCTCATGCTTTGATGTCATTGCAGCTAGTGCAGAAAACGGTCGCAGAGGTGTACCTAGGAGCATGGGTTGCGACAGGTGCGGTGTATACCTAGCGAAGAAACGACCGCATCCAGAAAACAAAAGTACATCCCACATGAGTACACGTTTCGTGCGAAAGGGACCTGTATTCGGGTGGGGTGTATACCCAACCAGAAAACAACGCGACTCGTGACGTCAGAAGTCAATCCGCAGCCAACATGAGCGAGCGCGTCGACCCTTTGGACCGAACGGATGCAGCGCAGAGCGAAGCGTCGCCCCCCGCGTCCGAAGTCAGTACATCGTCCGTTAAGGTGAAGAGCACGAGGAAGAAGTGGAAGGTCAAGCAGCAGCAGAAGGGGAGGGGGAAGACGGAGCAGGTGGTAGACGCCCAAGCAGCAGTTGGCGACGACGTGCTCGACGGCAGTGTGGATGCATTTGATGGCGCGGGGTTCGTTATGGTGAATCTGCGGAATGAGGTCGAGGAGATGGCGGTTGTGGCTACGGACGAAGGGTTTGCGAGTGTTCGAGTCGTTGACGTCGATCAGAAGGAGGAGGAGAAGGAGGAGGAGGAGAAGAAGAAGAAGGCGAAGGAGGGAGAAAAGCAGGTGAAGCGACGGAATATGAGGAAGAAAACGAAGAAGAAGAAGAAAGAGGAGAAGGCATTGATAGAAGAGGGAGTGGTTCAGGAGATGTCGAAGGATGCAGGGGAGGAGAAGGTGACGGAGAAGAAGAAGAAGAAACCGAAGAAGAAGAAAGAGGTGAAGACAGTGAAAGAAGAGGAAGTTGCTGGGGCGTTGTCGAAGGATGTAGGGGAGGAGAAGGCAGTGAAAAAAGATGACGTGACTGGGGCATTGCCGAAGGATGCAGGGAAGGAGAAGGCGACGGATAAGAAGAAGAAAAAACCGAAGAAGAAGAATGAGAAGAAGACAGTGAAAGAAGAGGACGTGAAAGAGGCGTTGTCGAAGGATGTAGGGGAGGAGAAGGCAGTGAAGGAAGAGGACGTGAATGGGGCGTTGCCGAAGGATGCGGGGGAGGAGAAGGTTGCGGAGAAGAAGAAGAGGAGGAAGAAAAACAAGAGGGAGATGAAACCGACGCAGCAGTTGCTCGAGACGGTGGAAAGTGCTGGAGTGGAGAAAGTTTTGGTGGTGGGAGACGAGAAGAAAAAGAAGCACAAGTTGAAGAAGAAAGCTGTTGCTAGAAAAGTATCTCTAGGCAGCAGGGATGTTGAAGAGAAACAAGAGGTGACGACAAGTCGTGCTGAAGACGAAATGAATGCAACTGATGTTGTTGCGAAGAACAACAAGGAAAGAGTGGAACACGCGACTCAGCAGGTGCAGCAAGTGGAAGGGGACAAAGTTTCGTCATTGCAAAACGAAAGCGGAACGAGTAAGAAGTTGAACGTCAAAGCGCGAAAAAATGCTCGTGAGCATGGTCCAGTGACTTATACGGAATATCTAGACCACGACGTGGTGATTCGAGGATTGGAGATGGGTAGCTTGTTTCAAGGCAAGCTACGCGTGAACCCGATGTACCGCATGGACGGATACGTCACGGTGGACGGATTGTCGGTGGATATACTCATCAAGGGAATGGAAGATCGCAATCGAGCATTCGACGGTGATTTAGTAGCTGTTCGATTGCATCCGGAATCCGCATGGAAATCTCTGAACGACGATCGCGGTAGGAAAGCAGCATCAGAGCCCATGTCTTCGACTGCCGGGGTGGACCAGCGTGCATTGCACTCGCTGTGGCTCCCTAATGTGCAGGTCGATCAGTGCTTCCCGGCACGCACGCCAGAGGATGAAGTCTCTGTCGACATGTTGAAACAGACGATGACCCGCCTAAATGAGCACGTGATCGAAGCTCGCAAACGTCCGGTAGCGACTGTGGTTTTTGTCCTAGCTCAAGGCAATGCAAACGGTTTCGTTGGATCTCTGGAAGCGAAAACCAAAGTAAAAGACTTGAGCTCACCGTTGCCAAGCGATGACAACTACGCGTACTTCAACGCCGACGACCCCCGTCTACCTCGACGCATTCGGATTCCGAGGCTGCAACTTCCTGACGAGTTTGTCAGCCGCCCTTTGCTGTATTCAAATGCGATGCTCTGCTGCTGCCGAATCAAAGCGTGGTCGACTAAACATCAGAGTCCAACGGGTGAGTTTGTCAAAACGGTCGGAGAGTACACAGGGATCGAAACTGGCATATCGGCAATCTTGTTCAAGCACGGCTTGCAAGCGCACACAGCGGATTTCGACAGCTCGATCTTGAACGAGTTGGACGAAAAATATGGCGCAAGCGGTGAAAAATGGGAGATACCGAGCGAAGAGCTTCAGAACCGACGAGACTTCCGCGACACGCAAATCTTCAGCATCGACCCATACAATGCGCGCGATTTAGACGACGCATTGCACATTCGTGTCCTTGACGATGCCCGCACTAAATTTGAGATTGGCGTCCACATTGCAGATGTGACCCACTTCATCGAGCACAACTCACTACTGGATCGTGAAGCCCGATCACGAGCCACTAGCGTGTATCTGGCCAACCGTGTGCTTCCGATGCTGCCTCGCATATTGTGCGAGAAGCTGTGTTCGCTTCAGCCGCAGGTAGATCGACTAGCGTTTTCAGTCGTGTGGCAGATGAACTTGGACGGTACGCTTGTTGACGGTGTCGATCCGTGGTTCGGAAAGTCTGTCATCCGCTCATGCTGCAAGCTCGACTACGGCTCAGCGCAAAAGATGCTTGATGGAGCTATCACCGAAAAGCATGTGGACGAGTGGGAAGAGGACCGACGTCCAATTGCCGATGCAAATCCCAACATCACTGCAGCCACAGTGATCCAGAGCGTCAAAGATTTGTGGAGCATTGGCGAAAACCGTCGCGCGATGCGTTTCGAGACAGGTGCAGTGAGTTTGAACGACGTGAAACTTGTTTTCTCGCTGGATGCAAAGGGAAACCCCACTCGGTACGGATCGTATGAGCTGAAGGACAGCAACCGGTTAGTGGAGGAGTACATGCTGCTAGCAAATTACCTCGTTGCTCAGCAATTGCTTCGTGCGCACGGTCCGCTAGCGTTCTTGCGTCATCACCCGCCGCCAGTCTCGCGGTCACTGGATCAGACGCTAGAGCGACTAGATGAGAGCGACGTCAAGCTGGACGGAAGATCGACAAAGCAGCTGGCAGAGTCCCTGGAGCGCGTCCGTCAAGACCGTGGCGAGGTTACATTTGCTGTTGTGCAAGCGTTGATCATCAAACCCATGAAGCCCGCTGAGTACATGGTGGCCGGCAACGGTGCATCCCCTGATTCGTGGCGCCATTATGCTCTGAATATTCCGTACTACACGCACTTCACGTCACCTATTCGCCGCTACGCCGACGTTGTCGTACATCGCCTTCTGCAGGAGAGCTGTGTGACTGGTGCATCTTCCTCCAACGATGATGCATCGAAATACGCCGATGACAATTCCAGGATGGCCGAGTACACCTCAGTCGCCCAAAACTGCAACGAAAAGAAGATGACGTCCAAGAAGGCGGAAACGGAGTGTGACAAGGTGTTTTTGTGTGCGTTTGTGCAGCACCATGGCGATATCGAAGTGACTGGCGTCGTGCTGGGCACGGGCCAGAAGAGCTTCACCGTGTACATCCTGGAGCTGGGTTTAGAGCAGCGTCTTTTCCTCCAGGATATGCGTCTGGTCGGTTCGTGGAATGGAAAGAAGTCGGAGCTTTCGATCCGATTGCCAACGGGGTCACAGGCGATGCAGGAAAAACGAGAGGTCTGTGTGGAAACCGGCCATGAGGATACATTGGACACGAGTGCAGAGCAGAAGGCGTCCGGGATGGTCAAGTTGACATTTATGAAGCAGCTTCGAATGCGCATGTCGACGACGAAAAAGATGCCACTGTCACTGACCTTCTCAGTGATTGCGGAGAAGACGGGCTAGCTAGTAGAGCAGCCCCTACAGCAGTTGCGTGTGTATGTCATCGTTTGTAGTCGGGTCTTTTTTTCATCCAGCTACGATAATTGACACCAACAGACCAGCGGACTTGTCAACAACCAGGCTGCTGCTACAATCAAAACCGCTGACCGCATCCCGTGCGCCCTTTGTGTCACGGGCGCATCATTCAGTCCAGCCGTACTTAGCCGCCGTACTTAGCCGCCGTACTTAGCGGCCACTTGCGTCGCCACTTGAGCAATGAACGTCCTGACCGTCTCCGACCTGAACGACGAGCACGCGCCGCTGCTGCGCACGGGCGCAGACGACGTCGAGGAGTTTCTGCTCGCGACGTTTGCAGACATTGAGCTCTACGCTGCTGTCTCTTCTGCCTCTTCTGCTGCTTCTAGTGACCCCATCAGCGACGACGACGTCGACAGAGACGCGTCGACGCTGCCGCACAACGGATCAAGTGGCACTTTGTTCGTGACCACAAGTCGCGTGGTGTGGATCGGCGCAGCAGTGGGACCGCGCGTGGGTTACGCGTGGGAAATGGCGTCCGTGACGCTCCACGCCATCTCGAGGGACCCGGCGGCGTTCCCGACGCCCTGTGTGTACTGCCAGATGAGCAGTCAGGACGTGTCGGAAGTGCACTTTGTACCGGCGGACGACCACACGTGTGGGTGCTCTGCTCTGTCGCTGTTGTTGTTATTGTTGTTGGAGCGGTTGCTGTCGGTGGTGCGGTTGTTGCTGTTTGTGGTACGAAGCAGGGGCTGACTTGTGGGGTGGACGATGGATGGGCTGTCGCTCGATGTGGGTGTGTGTGTGTGTGGGTTGTCTTGTCTTGACTTTTGCAACGCAGTGCAAGAGGTGTTTCGTGCCTTGTGCAAGTCAGCCGAGATGAATCCGGACGAGGACGAGGACAACGAAGACGACGGATGGATTTGTGACGAGGAGGAAGTGGCGGACGGAGCGAGAGCTGCTCAGTTGGCTGCACACTTTGACTCGATGCTGCAAGTGCCGCCTGAGCTTGAGCACTGCGGCACGGAATTGGGGCAGTTTGACGACGCCATCGAGGAGAGTCTGCTGTAGCGCAGAGACTACTCGAGCAGTACGGGGCACTTTGTTCCTCTTGACAACCAGCAGGGAAAAGTGCGGTGAGGTTCGCACGACGAACGACACGAGAGCAGCACACACACACACGCACGAGCCATGCACTGCGTATGAGGCACACAAGCAGCAGCTGATTCGACTGCAGTGGTAGTTTTATTCGGTTGTAGTCCGATGCCGACGCTGTGTCGTATCAACGAGTTCAAATCTTGTGGATCATGTTCTCCTTGTTGACCAAGTGGCATGTAGTCTCGACCAGGCGGAGCAGCTGGGTGATGTCCGCTGCCACAGCATGCACAGGTACAATGATAAGTCGTGCAGTTTCGACGAACACAAGCACAAACAGCGGCAACTTTGTCCAAACATGGCAAACGTACCCGACCAGTTGGAAAGCTGCTCTTCCGGCGACAGCGGTCTGTGGAACGAGACCAGCTTCGCAGGACGGTCAATCTTGGCATAAACGGATCCGCTGCTCACGAGGGTCGAAATGCTGCTTTCCGTCAACTGCCAACCGCGCAAAACATGTCAGTCGACTCTCAACACAATACACAAAACCACGTCATCAGCGTCATCCACACGTACGTCTTCCGTGAGTCCAATCATGTTGGCCAAGTGGGGCAGACGAATACGGTCAAAGTGCTCTGCGACCACGCGGATGTTGTACTCGACGACACGAGTGTGCAAGGTCTTCCACCACTCGGCCCCGCGTTCGCCGTGCTTGAAAATCGGGTGTTCCTTCAGCACATGGTCTTGTTCCATGGGGAAGCCAATGATCTCTCGGGTCGTGAACTTCTTGAGCATGGCCGCAAAAGCAGCAGGGAGCTTCTCCGTCCGTTTCTCGCTGGCCAACTTGTGCAGCAAGTCGTTCTGCAAGTTCGAGTACGCCGACAGCACGACAAAAATCGTCGCGTGCTCGAGCGCCTGTTGCCACAAGTCGTCTTTGTCTTTGACCCCGTCCGTGTTGAAAATGGCCATCCAGTGACGACAGAGCTCGAGCGTATTGTTCTCGTGCGTGTCGTACTCGATCATCAAGTGGTAAAACTTGAGCTTGCACGCTTCAAAGCCCGTTTCCTCCAGCGTCCGGCGCAAGATCTTCTTGGCCAAAATGTTCGCGCGCACATAGTCCTTCTTGGCCAGCGTGAGCCGCACTTGCTCCAATATAAACTCCGTCTTCTCGAGCTTCGTCATGGCGCCGTACGTCTCGACGTGCACCTCCTGCAAAATCGTCGCGGCCGCTTCCACGTCGCCCTGCGCCTCTTTCATCCTCGACAGCATCTGCGTCAGCGTCGCGCGCTCCTTTTCCAAGAAGATTTTGCCCTCAGCGACCGTCCGCAGCGCGTGGATGAGCGCCATTGTGACTGCTTCGGACGGCGCTTCGGCCAGGTACGACATGGTACGCTGCACCAGGACCGTGATCGCGCTGGACTTCTGCGCGCGGCGCTTCGACAGCAGCGTCACGTGGTCCTCGAGGAGGTCCCAGCGCTGGTGCTGCGCACAGAGCGCTACGAGCGCTCCCACCGTCTCGTTCAGCGTCGCCACGTCGTTCGCCAGACGCGCCTGTTTCTCCAGCGCCAGCAGCAGCTCACACGCGCGCGCCACTTGGCCCGTGGCCGCGACGGTCTGCGCCTCGGGCAGCACGCGCTGGAACGCGGGGCCCAGGTCCGCCTTCTTGCCCATCTCGTCCGTGCTCATGATGGCGCGGGAATGAAATCTTAAACGGGAATGGGAATGTCTGCTGTCTATATGTATGTATGTATGTAGGTGGTATGTATGTATGTATGTATGTACAGTCTTCCCTCTGCTAAGTTATAGACTTGGTGGAAGGCAAATCTTATAACATAGCAGAGGTTATTCCATAGCAGAGATATGCTGCGGAAAAAACATTAATTTAATTAATTAAAGAATCAAAAACGCAACAAACTCCAGGCTTCCAAAACCTGTCTGGCACGTGTCACGTGCCCTTTGACGATTTTGTGATTTTGGTTGCCCCACCAGTCTCTGGTGATTTTGCTATCTCTGGTTAAGAAGTTCCACCAACTGTACCTTGCTCACTCACAACAGATGTCGCAGATACGTCTTACCAACGAGCAGAAGCTGCGCATCTGCAAGCACCAGGATGCTAACCCGCGCATCACCCAGACTGCCCTGGCGGCTTGGACAAAGGACGCCTTTGACCTCCAGAAGGCACTTTCCCAGGCAGCGATCAGCAAAATCATCAAAAAAAGGAAGGAGCTTGAGGCAATGGACACCACTAACCTCAGCGCTAAGCGTCCTCGGACTGTCCAGCACCCAGCTGTGGAGGAGGCCGTCGCCTTCTGGGTCTTGCAGTGCCAGCACCGTGGGGTCGCTCTCACTGGAGATCTCATACGGGCCAAGGCTCAGACTTTTGCGGGATCAATGGGCGTCTCGGAGGAAAACATCCGCTTTTCGAATGGGTGGCTCCACAAATTCCAGCAGCGCCACAAACTGCGAGCTGTCCGCATTCATGGCGAGAGTGGCTCAGCAGATATGGGCGCTCTAGAGGAGGGTCTTCCACACCTCAAGGCCGTGGTTGCTGGTTATACTCCACGTGACGTGTACAACATGGACGAAACTGGTAGGTCTGAGAATACAGTACAGTACTGTACTCATTGTACAGTACAGAAGCATCTCAAAGGCTCACTTTCTGTTCAGGGTTGTTCTACAGTATGACGCCCGACAGAACGATTGCCCAGCAAGAGGTCGAAGGGTTTAAAAAAGACAAGGTACATTATTGCTCTCATCTTGGTTTCCTGCGTTTCTCTGACACTAACAACTATTCTAGACGCGCATCACAGTTGCTCTCACGGCAAACGCTGATGGATCCGACAAACTCCCGCCGTTCTTCATTGGACACGCCAAAAAGCCGCGGTGTTTTGAGCGCAAGACAGCTGAGCGACTGGGCTTTCTCTACCGCAACAACAAGAAAGCCTGGATGACTGGCATACTCTTCCAGGAATGGCTGGGAGACGTCGACAAAAGTATGAAGGTAATTTGGAGCATGCCTTGAACATCATCGTTGTGGTACAGTAAATGAGGTTTGACTAACGCGTTGACCACAGCAAAAGGATAGAAAAATCCTGCTTCTCATGGACAACGCTCCTTCACACATTGTGGCTGACCTGGAACTCACCAACATCACGGTCCAGGCTCTTCCTCCTAATACGACTTCAAAGGTCCAACCCATGGATGCTGGGATCATTGCCGCATTCAAGAGGCACTACCGCCGGCTGCATCTGCAGAATGCCTTGGACCGTGACGAGCGCGGAGAAACCAACCTTTACAAGGTTGATCAGCTCACGGCCATGCGTTGGTCGCTGGCTGCGTGGAGCGAGATTTCCAGTGCCACAATCGCCAACTGCTTCCGTCATACGGGACTCATGGACGGTCCGGCTCTGCCGACTGGTGGGGGTGAAAACGAAGCCGGCACTGTTGGCCAGCAGGCCCAGCAGGAGGAAACAGCTGCTGCAGTAGAGGAGCAGCGCGTGAAACAGGATCTTGTTTCGGCGCTGGAAAGGCTCCCGCTCCGCAATCCCATGTCGATCGCTTCTCTTTTCAATCCGGCTGAAGAGGAGGAGACGGCGCATGCAAAGCTGACCGATGCCGAAATCATCAAGCTTGTTGAGGATCCGTATGGGGAGGAGGAAGGTGCTGCTGAGGCGGAGGAGGAGGTGGAAAAGCATTCGAAGGCTGAAAAGATTGCCAGCCTTAGTCTATCCATCGCCCTTCTCGACCTTTCTCAGGAGTCCCATCGTATAGCTCACCGCACCATTCGCCAAGTCCAAGCTGATCTCCGTAGTGCGAGCACCACTCAGGCCACACTTGATTCCTGGCTGAAGTAGTTTCCTCTCCTCTTTCCACTCCTTTCTTGCAGTGAATAACAAAAAAAAAGGTTCTGCGTACAATATTTCTGCTCACGGCGGACAAAAATATTCCCTCTGATAAGTTGTATTTGGCCCTCAGGCTATTCCGTACAACTCATTCCGTAGTCACCATAGAACGAGGTCGGTGGAGACCGAATCCTATAACTTACCGGAGGTTATTCCGTAGCCGGGGATAACTTAGCAGAGGGAAGACTGTATGTATGTATGTATGTATGTATGTATGTATGTATGTATGTATGTATGTATGTATGTATGTATGTATGTATGTATGTATGTATGTATGTATGTATGTATGTATGTATGTATGTATGTATGTAGGTAGGTGGTATGTATGTATGTCTGTATGTATGTAGATGGTATGTATGTATGTATGTATGTATGTATGTATGTATGTATGTATGTATGTATGTATGTATGTAGGTGGTATGTATGTATGGGAAGAAGGGTGGGGGGTACGTACGCGGTCGAGTGTACCCTCTCACTCGGGTTACGGTATGGGTATGGGATATGAGGGGGGGGGCTGAATGTGGGATTCGTTTGCGTGGATATGTGGTTGCACTAAAGTAGGCGGTGTTTTCGGTGTGATGTGGCATTAGAGGGCCGTAATTCGATCGATAGGGTTCGAGGCACGATGGTCATTGTCAACTAAACTGTCACTAGGTTTGGACGGCACCGTCAGGCAACATGCATTGAACTTGGTGGATCACGACCTGTTTTCGTTGTAGTAGACGACCTCTCCTCGATTCTGTCGCGTCCTGCGATACTTTGAAACAGCAAGTTGTCCATAGCGTTTGATCAAGGTAAAATAGTGGCCAGTACCGAAACGCTGGTAGCAATCGAAAAATCGTTGCTGGCTCTAGTAAAGCTGCGCAACTGATCTGTACAAAAGCCTCTCGAGAACGAATTCGTGACAGGATGCTGTATCGAACGCTTTGACGTAAGTGAATGCTCGCAATATGCTCGGTGCAAACGTTCGTTGAGAGGAGCCATGGTCCGAAACCAGTGAATCTCGTCTAGGCAGCAATGGTGACACTACTTTTCCGTTCTACTACTACTTTTGCAGTTCGCAACCTATTTTACGGTACGTAGTACTTCGCCGGTAAGGGGCGATGACCGGTAAGAGCGTTCCTCTATGTATAATGCCAAATGCAAACTCCTTGATCGGGTGACTGCTTGTAGTCATCATCGATAATGCTACGGAATTGCACAAGGCGGATACGCAGGTCACGACAACACATGATGCTCGAGCGAGTGTGAAGATGTGCTCGGGCACGATATGTGTGGTGTTGTCGTGCCAAGCGCGAGTGGCAACAAGGTGGGAGCGATGCATGTAACGGGGCACACCTTTGCGTGAACTTAACACAAGGGTATCGGTGCCCCGACAGACGTACACAAGGCAAGCGAGGAAGCGTAGGGAGGGTAAAAGCAGAACTGTTTTATTAATATTATTAAGTCTTTTAACTACTGTCTCTTTGTTTGACTTAACTTAATTATGCTAATATAACTGAGTGTATGGTGACGTCTCGTCACCACTCATTGCGCGCGTCTTGCGGCGATTGGTGGGTTGATATCATCAAGATATCAACCCATGAACAGACTCTTTGGTCGACCCTTCAATATCACCACTTCGGTGATATTGTTTAAAGAATATTCAACTTCATATTCTTTATTGTCACTTTCTCTTAAAGTGACAATTCCATGTAACGGGCTGCCCCGTTACATCACCCCCCCTTAACTGATAGTCACCGTGTGACTATCGAAAATAATGGCGGCCACCCGTTGGTCACCATTGGGACAGGGAGCACTTGTTGGGTCCGTTCCATTCACTTTCCGCTCGACCTCGCATAGTCAACATGTCTATGCGGGGTGACTCAAGGCACACAGTGTCTGTGCTTGTGCCAGCTTCTGCGGCAGACGATTCTTCGTCTGCTGCTCGTTCTTCGCCTGCAGCAAGAGGTGCTGCAGGTGCACGCGGTACAGCACTGCGTGCGCATGATGACCCCGACATTGAGGTCATCTACTCTGGCGAGTCAGACGTGTCTGACTCGGGCAATGCTGCAGAGGCGTCTCGCTCACCGGCGACGCCTCAGTTTTCGCCAAGGCCACTACCGAACGAACGGACTCGTGAGTTGCAACACAGTCTGTTCGGCAGTGATGACGAATCTGGTGATGAGTATGTTTGCTCATCACCGCAATCAGCTCGTGCTCCTTCGCACGAGCGACTTGACGATGGTGCAACCCATCGTCATACTGACAACCGTGGTACCAACAAAGGTACCACTGTGAAGCGTGATGAGCTGAAGCCGTGGCGTTTGCCTGAACGGCTCATCAATGGATTGTCTCACGAGACAAGCCAACACCATCGAATACCCTTATTCGATGCGACTGAGCTTCACGGCTTGACTCCCAGCGCGAGCAACTTTCGCGCTGAAGAAGGTTTTTATCTCGATGTCTTCCTTAGACATCGATGGTACAACAGCAACCAAAAGCGTGACAAAGCCTCGCTTTTGGCTGCGTGAAACGCGTTCGTCCAAAACAAAAAAAATCTGGACGAGAAGGGTGGCTCAAGAAACTTGAGGCGACACGCCTCAGGTTCGAAAAGCGAACGCCAACCGGTGCCAGGTACCAGTTGCACTGTTTGTCGAGTGAGGAAGGCATTCCTTGCATCACATGGGGAGACCCTTGTGCGAGTTGTGTTGACAACTCGCAGCGTGCACATAGGGACGTGTATTCCCTAAGTTCGCCCTGGGGAGGGCACATCTCTCGGAGGAGATGCGTGACGCGATTGCA